GAGAGGGCTGTTTTCTTCCTTTCCCACGTGGGAGGTGGGGGGAAAAGAAGGAGCCGTCCGGAGCTTCAGGGCATTAAAGCTTGAGCGAGAGAGATTGAGAGAGAAGTTTCCCCGAAAGTCAGCCATGTTAGGTGGCTTCACCATAAAAGCCGAGGGTTTGTAGCATTCACTCGTTTGCTTTTATTTCTCTTCTGCCCAAAGGTTCCCTTTGCTGGAGAGGGCTGGGAGGGGGGATGCACAGCAGATTTGGGGGCTGTGGGGTGTGCGAAGGAAAGGAAGGAAGGTCTGAGACACGGAATGGAAGCAGAGACCTTGATCTGTGCCCCGAGAGAGAGGGAAACAATGCAAGAGGGTCACCAGGAATATGGCTAAGCTTCCTGTTCCACTGACACCAGAAACAGCTACGTGGTTCCTTATAGGACACAAGCTACTTTCCATTTTTCGGAAGGGTCTGTGTGTTTCTGAGGAGAGGGAGCCCGCCCTAGGTTTCAAGAAGGCCACACATGGCCACACGCAGGCTGGGAAAAGGGGCATGTATGGGGTCGTTTGGAAGGAAGCACCTCCTTCTGCCCGCTGGAGGGGTTAGACTTCCCAGCCAGCCAAGACCAGGGAACCCGGCAGAGATGCCACGGGTAGGGATCCTCCAAAGGGGAGGGATTTTGCTATGCCAAGGCCACGCAGCCAGCATGAGTGACCCAATGGGAAGGATCCAGCCGTCCAATCAACAGGGACACTCCGAATAAGACAGCAATGTGGCGCCTCCAGCCTCCTCGCCAGCAGAGCCAAAACGGGGCTCGGTGACCCCATCATCCCTTCTGACTCTTTTGACCCGGGGGACTCTTCCAGAGACCTCATGGGAAGCCTCCTGGCAGCCCTAAACTAAAATCCAGTGTCATCTCAGAGAGTGTTTGTCCAGCGCATGTGTGGGGGTGGGATAGGGAGGCAGTTTCTCTACTCTAATTTTAGAAAGAATTTTATATATATTTTTGGACACATGACTGACCCCCCCCTCCAAAAAAAGAGAGTCCAAGGGAGAGAAGCGGCCATCTAGAAGAAATATTCCACAACGCAGATTCAGAAAAGGTCAGGGAAAAGCAGGGAAGAGAGGCAATAACATGCAAATTCCCCTCCTGAAAAGCGATCAAGGGTTGGGAAGGGTCTCCCCCCCCCCCAATTTCTCCATGTATTTACAATGGGGACATCAAAGGCGTCCCGGGAGGAAGGCCGACCAAGGAGGAGGGGGTTGTGGGGGCGTCTTCCGTTTGATAGCTTTCAGGCTTTTTGGATCCAATGACTTGTCCAGACCCACCAAGGGGCGGAGGAGGGGGAGGTGTCGGTGTGGTGTGTGTGTGTCTGGAGGGTGTTTGTCTGTGTTAAAAACTGGTGAGGTGGGGGACAGAAATATTTTTACACATTGGACTGTTTGCAAAAGACGCAGACACACAGCTGGGAGGCCATGTGCCCTGAAACACCATCATCCACAAGCAGAGAGACAACAGCAGCCATGAAAATAAATGGGGGAGGACGAACCCCACTCTCTCTCTCTCTCTCTCTCTCTCTCACACACACACACACACACTTGCATAAGGATATGTGTGTGTGTTCCAGCACACTAGAAAAATATAAGATTTTCCCTCCAGACCATAACATTCTGTCTCAGCAACAGCCCCACAGAACAACAAGCCTCACTTTTTTTTTTTTGCAACCCCTCCCAATCACCTTGATTGAAGGAGATGCCCCCAAATGCTTTCCCGGATGGACTTTTAAACAAAGCATCCCCTCAGTAAACTTTAAAATGGGCTCGTCAAAAATTCTCCTCCACCCTCGTAAACGGCCCTGGGGAGGACCTCTTGCGGTTACGGAGCCAACAAACCCAGCCTTGCGTTGTTCCAAGAGTGTTGAGCAGGACCGGCAACGTTAAGCTTTCCCAGGAAAAAAGAAAGAAAGAAGCCCCTCAGGTGTTATTTGACTCTGCTCAAGCTTCCAAGGTTATTCTAACATCTATAAAAGACGGTTAAAAATTAAAAAGTAAAAGCATTTGGCTGCCCACAGAACCCTGTGCTCCTTCCAGCCTTCTCTCTCTTTTTTTTCCTCAGCCCCTTCCACTCCGAAGGGGAGGCAAAGTGGGACCCGAAGGGGCCTCGGCAGCCAGCTTTTGCAGCCAGCCGGGCTAGCTGGTGCCGGCCGCTTCGGCCCCTGGGGGCAAAAATATTTCTGGACTGGACAGGACTGGTCTTCCTCAGACCTTGACGCCACTCAATCTCAAATGGAAAAATTCAGGCTTTTTATCTTTTTTTTTAAATAATAAAGTTCCCTTCTTTCCATCTTCCCTTTACTCTGAACTTATTTTGTTTCTTCTCTGAGACCCACATCCTGTCTTCTCCTCTCCCTCCCTCCCTCCCTAGCCAGTAAAGAAGAAAAATCATAATAAAGCCAAGCTCCACTTTTTTGAAAACTAAAACAGATTAAGGAAACGTTAGAAAGCAACGGGACGCAAGTTTTCCTTTAGGAGAAAGAAGGCGTCTATATGCTTTAAATAAATAAGTAACAATAAGCCAACAACAAACCCTAAGTCACATAATTTGAAGCCACAGCTCACAGTTGCTTCACAAACACTAGTTTGTTGTTACGTCTGAAGCCCAAACCATGGTTTGTCCCTACTTTCTTTTCCAAGTCATGCCCAGCCCAAAGCGGGAGAGGCCAGAAATGACAATTTGTGGTTTTCTTTGTCCACGTGGCCAGGGGAGATATTCATATGGCAATATCATCTTTTCCAAACATGGTGTGTGAATGCAGTCTCCCCACCCCCGCAAAAAATAAACGTCAAAAAGTGTGGGCCCTGTGTAAGGAAAATCTTGAGTTCCCCTGATTTCTTTCTCCCGGCACTTGGAAACACAAACTCCACAAAAACCAGTTCAAGGGGCATCATTGCAGTTGTGGCGGCAAGGGTCTGGGGCTAAGATCCTGCCGCCCCACAGGAAAGTGGCCGAGGGCGGGGAACGGACATCCCTCCCGTTCATTTTAACATTAAAAGCACAAATGACATTTGAGTGGCTGGAGGCGGACGTCTCTTGTGAAACAAGCCGCCTGACCGGATCACTTGGCAAGAAACCTTGGGGCTGACGGGCTGGAGTTTGGGGTGAGACAGAAGACCTCGATGGACCCCCTCCTTAGAAGCAGCAGCAGACACGGCTTTTAAAACCTGGCCTGAACCTGCAGCCTGCACAATGCCAGCCGAAGGGTGAGGCTGGGGACCCCCACCCGGGTTCACTGTCTCCCCAATGAAAAGGGCCCTGGGGGCCACTCACTCGAGCGGTCAGGCGGGGACCCCGAGGGGCCAATGGGCTCTCCCAAGCGCCCGCTCTCGGCGCAGGAAGAGGGTCACCTTACCTGCTTGAACTGCTCCTCGTACGTCCAGTCTCCGTGATCGAGGACCTGAGGTGGCAACTGGGAGAGGCCTGGAGGGGCTGTGGCCCCGGAAGAGAGCCGCTCGGGGGCCCCCGGGAGCCTCAGGGGCTCCCTTCGGTACTGCTGAGGACCCGGATGCTTGCGGAGAAGAGCGGGGTCTGGGCTGGAGCGAGCTGCCTCCCCAAGGCCGGGCCCTTCCTCCCCCATCTCGTCCTCCTCTTCGTAGTCTTCCTCTTCCTCCTCGTCTTCCTCGCCCAGGTCGTCCTCAAAGTCTTCCTCGTCCCATCTGCCCTTCCTGGGGGTGGGGAGGGAGGGAGGGAGGAAGACAAGCACCATGGCATGAGTGCCTGAAATGAAACCCCCATACAAGATGGAGAAACTCCTTCAAAGAAACCACAACTTCTGTGTCTGCAAGAGCTGAGCAGGGCTGGTAAAGACAGGACATTTGGGGGAATCGCTCCTTTGTCGGCTGCTGTAATGATAACAACAGCCGACCCTGTGAGGTAGGCCAGGCTCAAAGGGAGAGAGGTCACCTGCTGAGGCCTGAGGCTCAGGTCGAACCCAGATCTCCCAGGGCCCAATCCAGCCCTTTCACCACTACTCCGCACTGCCCTTGTGGACCCTGTTTCCAGCACTGGGGGTAAAGGCTGCGAGAGACTCGCCCCTTCCAACCAGACACACAAGGAGGGAAATCTTGGCAGATCTTCCCACAGCGAACAGCCAACCCCCCCCCCTCCGCCCACCCCATTCCTCTGCAATCCAGGGATAACGCTGGACTGCCTTAAATCTTTAACCCTCCTTTAACCCCCCCCCCCCGAAAAACAACCACGTCCCTCCTGGATTAAACAGACTCCCCCTCCAGAACATATGTTAATTTACAACCAGACAGAAGCCAGGAAATTGCGCCTGGCGAATCTCGGGCTCCTGCGCCGGCCCATGGCTTGTTTTGCTTTGGTGGTGGAAGAGACTCCCCTTTACCCCCCCCAACTCTCTGAGTCACAGGGGAAAACTGAGGCATGTCTACTCAGAAGTAAGCAGCACCAAGTTCCTGGGAGTCACACCACTTGGGGGGGTGTGCATGTGTGTTGGGAAAAACTGGGAACACAGCAGCTAATCATGGTTTCTCAATCAAGAACATTTAACGTCATGAATTACGTTATGGCTGTATCACTTCCTGGAACAAAATGTCACCTTTTTTCTTCTTTTTTCAACATCAAGCGTAACTTTTTAGTTCCTTTTTTAGAGAGGGGGCCAGCCTCAATGAAATGGGAGAGGATTCGCCCACCTGCCTCAGAGAGCCGGGGAGAAATATCTGAGTTTGGTGTGGTTTCTTTTTTCCCTCCTTCAAAAGGCACAACAACAAAAAATAACTATTTCAGCTACTTTTGAGAAGCAAGAAAATGAAGTGTTTCTCCCCCCCCCAAAAAAAAACACTCATAAGAAAGCAAACAATACAGGGGGTGGGAATCAAGGTCTGGTTACACCTTTAGGGATAACAACCTTATGGGGCCTTGAAAATATAACCAATTCCTTTTTCAGAGAAACTTTCCAAGCTAGGCAGAAAGGTGGAGGGAGGGACCCAGGGCCCAGTCTCTCTTCCCCTCCTCTCCCTCCCCTGCTAGAAAATCACCACTCGGAAAATTTCAAAGTGGGCTCAGAAACTTAATCAAAAAGCTCCAGGCACTGAAAACTGGTCAGCCTGGTTTGGCTGTTAAAAATTCCTGTTTTATTGTCTCCTGACCCCCCCCCCTTCAAAACAACATCCCAAGGGGAAGGAGGAGGCAGGGAGGGGGTGGGGATGCCCGGCAGAGAAAAAGGCTGGCTCTCGGGAATGTGAGAAAGAAAGAGCAGGTTGGACCAGAGAAGAAGCTTCTCTCTCTGTTTTTCCTCCTCCTTTTAACTTGCCACAATCCTGCCTTTTTCCTAGCAGATTTTTTTCACACTGCAAAACAGTTCTCCTTATTCGGTTTTTTTTTTTAATCTTATTCTTTCAGTTTGCTGAGTCCTAAGAGAAGCACAGCAGAGGAACAAAATTTTGGAAGTGGCTGTAGATCACCAGCTGAATGTGAGCCAAGAGGGCGACGCAGCTGCAAAAAAGGCCAATGCGATTTTAGGATGCCTAGTCTCCCAACCCTGTGAGTTTTTCGGCACCAACGGACTCCTGGTTTCTTCTGCTGTGGGAAACTAACCGGCAGAGCTGTCTGCCCCCCCCCATGGTGTCACCCAAAGCCACAAAAGAGAGCAGCCCTTGGCTCCAGGGCGAGAGAAGGAGGAAGGGGCTTCGGTGCCGAATCCACCCCCCACAGGAAGGGGGAATCCCTCTGGGCGACAGAGCCCCGTTCTGTTTCTTCGTTCTATATCTCCACACACACGCTCTCCTCCAAGGAGTCCGGGCTGGTGTGTACAGCTCTTGCCCTCTGCTCAACCATCTTGTCTTCTTGACAACTCTGCAGAGGAGGCCGGAAGGGGTGGGGAAAGCCTGGCGAACGCCTGGGAGACCTGTCATGGCCCCCTCGCTCGCACAGACCTTCTGCTACGACTTACATTTCGCTTTCCGAGCCCATCTCCCGCAGGTAGGGGCCACGCTCTTCCTCCTCCTCCTCCTCCTCCACGCCTCCTCCAGGCTCCCCGTCTTCACCACCTGAGGACCGGCTCTCCTCGTCCTCCTCCTCTTCCTCCTGCTCCTCTTCCTCCGACATCACTGGGCTGGACGACTGGCTGAGGCCGGCGGCCGCGGCCCGCATCGCGGCCAAGGCAGCCATCTGGGCCCTCTGGATCTGGGCGCTCTCGGGCT